CTCAAATGCTTCCAAGCAGCTGAATTCATCCACAACTTTATCTGGACGTTGCACCAAAGCTTCAGATCCTTTTAAAGATCCCCCAGCTGCAACATGGAGCAAAGTGTGATGTTTTCAGAGTGCTCTAAATCTCACTGAGGGGTGGTGGACCGGCACACCAAGGCTGGGAAGGAACCAGGCCACAAAGACTGGGAGTGAGTTTTGCTGATAAACCTTTCAACTCCTGACTGAGAAGATCAAAAAGAGCTTTCTAAGTGCTCCCTCATGAACAACCCAACCCCGTTTGAGAAAGTCAGGCACACAGGAGTGCTGTATTTTCCCTAAATTCTCAGTGCTGGAGGAGCTGCAGCCCTTTGTGTTGAGGAATTGCACATCCCTGTTCAGCAGAAGCTCCACAGCAGACATCAAAGGGAAACACTAAACCTCCTCACAAGCCTTTAGGCAGCTTCAGAAGATACATCACTGCATAGTGTTTAGCAGTTGGATCACAGAAAGGCAGGGGAAAAAAAAGGAACTGCAGGACGCCCACAAGACATTCTCCACATATTTCCATAAGCAGGGACGTTTCTGCTGAATTACTGTTCACATGGCAAAAGAAAATCAGCAACCAAGACACTGATGTGGCAATTTTGGCCTTTGCATCTTTCTGCTCTTGTTCCCACTGGGCACCAATTACACATGGAACCGAACAGAAAAAGGGCTGACAAGGTTTGAACAGCACAGAATAAGCAGGAATCAGCATCCCATCTGCCATTTTGGGAAGGAAAAGGTGCTCTTTACCTTGCTGAATGTCTGTTTTGTTAACAGGCCCCACCAGAAAATGATGCAGAAGGCACATTTCTCAAGAAAAGCCCCTCTGTCTCCTTTCTGGAGAGGTTTTGCCACCATTGATTGTGGAATTTATATTTTTCTTAAACATTCTCCAAGCCATGGGATGTTGTGCCTGGGAAGGACAGACGTAACAAGAAGTACCTTTCACTTAATTTTTGGCAATTTGGAAGACACTGAAACGTGCTTTTTAAGTACAGTCCCCTGGCACAGTATCTTTGTTTTTACAGCAAATCCACGGAGGAGGATTTGGGACACACTGTACCAACCTGGAGGAGCAGACAGGACCTGCTCCAGAGCTTTATCTTCCGAGCAGACTGGACAAAACAGCAGCATTCCAACTGTACAGGTGGGGAGAGGAGGAACAAAGACACCCAGTGACTTACTCGAGGTCACACAGGAATCTGTTGAGTTCCCAAAGTCTCAGTCCACTCAGGCATTGGAAAAATCAGCGAAACAAGAGCATGTACTAAATTTGGCACAGCCTTTTAAATGATGCATTGCTGCAAGGGAACAAGAACCTCCAGTCATGCTAGCCCAGACAGCAAAGTAGCTACTCAGCTCCACCCAATCTATCTGATCACCTTCCTATTTCCTGAGTCAATAAGGTCTTTCTTGGCCAGACGGTCCAACCCACAATTTAGATCTTGTTACAAATCAGACCCACTAAACCACTTTCTCCCTGGGGCTGCAGGAGATAAAAGGCCAAGTAAGAAACATTTTGGTAGCTGGGCTTCGTGTAACAGCTTTGGATTTTCTTAAAAGCCTCAGCATTGATTATTTTCTTTAAATAGCAATGGCTTATTGAGGAACCTTCCACCCCTTTCAAGGCACAAGGTTTTCCTTAGGTAGAAAAGAAAGCAAAAACTGCCCTGCCAAGGCATATTTGTCAAAGAGTTTCAGATACCCAGGGCTGGCAAAACACTTTGAAGTCACAGTAAGTTAACACTGGTGCTGAAGGGCTAAGAGGGGAAACTCGGGAGATGGAGAGGAAATAAAGTATGGATTGACACAGAACAGTCCTGGGATTCAGCTCCAGCTCGTGTTTCAGCCAAGGGCATGAGCCAGGGCTGCAACCTGGGTGTATGCAGAGGAGCTGAAAGCTGAGGGCAGGCAGAGCAGCCCAGCTCTCCTGGGGGCTCTGCACAACTTGGGGCAAAAGGAACAGAGGAATTAATTCCACGGAGCCAAACCCCCACCGCCCTGCTGTTACATAAAAGCCTGTTTTCTGGGGAATGTTTCCAAGGATGGTGTCATTTGGGCTGTTTTGATTCAAGTGACAGTCAGCTTTAGGATGAGATACACCACAGGCTGAGAAACATTCCAGTTTGCAGAGTCTCCCACTCCCTTTTCCATCCCCACGGCGCTTGTTCCTTCCTTCCTTCCGTTTGCCACATTTTCTTATGGAAAACAAGCACGACAACTGCTCAGCCTGGTTCTTCGTGCTGCCACAAGGCTGTGATGAAAGAACTGCACAAGGCCTCGGGGAGATGTTTCCAACTCAAACAGATCAAACACCGACTATTTAAGTTTGCCTGGGAAAGTTTCTACACATTTTGGAAGTCACCCCCCCCCCAAGGCAGGGACTGTTCTGTTGAACAGCCACTTGTACAAATCATGGTTGCACAACTACTTTCATAAGGTTTTCAGTTATACAAAGATGTGCCTTATTAATGTTTACAACCCTGAGAAATAAATCCTAAACCCCCAAACCCTTTGCTAGTGCTCCACCAGCACTGTGGCCCCAACTATTAATTTACACCTCAGTCTGAATGAACTTTTAGAAGGAGCAGATCCCGCAGCTCACTGGAGTTAACACCTCCACAATTCACACACAGCCTTACATTGTGCTTTCCTACTTTCCCTCATGTCTGTATTTTAGCAGTCAGCATTCCTGGGCAGTTTCTGCAGGACAGAAGCTAAAATTCCAAGCAGTTGGCAGCACTGGCATTGCCCTGCTGGAAGCTCCTCAGCCTGCAAAGCTGGCTGCACCGGAGCACGGACACGGAACAAGGAGGGGAAGGAAGCACCGAAGGTGAAAGCACTGGGAATGCACAGCCTTGTGTTTTCCCTGGCTGGGGACCAGCCACCTCGAGAGAAAAAAAGCAGAGCACAAACTCAAATGTGCTGCAAAAGCAGCAAGGAAAACAAGCTCCTTCTTCATCCAGCGAAGCACCTTCTGTGTCCCAACACAAAATCCAGGGGATCAGCTCTCCCAGTGAACGGGCAGGGGAGTCACTGCCCTGTTTTCCTGCCCCATTTCACCGAGCACAGGAGCCTGAAGTCACCGAGCAGCCCCAAAAGGCTGAAGGTATTTCCCCCCCAGGGCACAGACTGCGGTTACATTTCAAAATTTACATTCACATTTCAAAACTCCTTTCTGTTGAGGAAATGCACAACCTCCTCCTCTTTGAAGGCTCTGCAGTCCCTCTAGGACAGTTCTGAGAACCACTGCAGTTGTACCAGGACAGGAGGAGCTCCAGAGTAACATCCTAATGGGAATCCTGTCTGCTCAGAAACTGTACAACCCCAAACTGGAGCAGTCAGCCATCAGCATTATTCATCCCAGAATATTTAAATTCCAGTTTCTGGCACGGAGACAACACCACAGAGGTAACACATCAACCTGGCCCACGCAACAGCCAGGAGAAAAAAAGGAAGGAGACAGACTCCGACGGGAGGTGACGGGTCTGAGCTCCCACCACGGAAATCCAGCAGGATCTCCACGGCTGCCGGTGCCAACCCTGCAAGGACAGATGCCCTCGGTGCAAGGTGACACCTTGCAATGTTTTCTGTGCCAGCAGGAAGAGGGGAAGCACTGCACACTTTCCCAATGCACACAGCACCTCTGTCCCTGGTGATCCCAGCCTTTCTCCCGAGGCTGCTCCAGGAAGCTGAGCCGTTCAAGTTGCACAGGCACAGCTCACAGCACCAATTTCCAGTCACCTCAGCTCATAAATCTTTCTGCTGTGTCTGTTTTTTCTGAACACAGATTTTGTAAGCTGAATAAACTTTACGGAACAGTTATTCCAAGGCAGCCGAATCCTGGAAGCTCGAGGCCTGACCACAGCCAGGAACTGCAGGCTCCAACACACACTCCGAGGAAGTTTAGTTTTCACACTTCAGAACGAGATCCTCTTACTGCCCTGCTCCCTCTGCATCAAAGGCCTCTGATTTATCAGCTCTGAAAGCTTTTAATTTACCTTATCCTCGAGACCCTTCACCTTCTGCTCAACAGATGAGAACCTTTGCACCCTCCCCAGCTCAGAGCACATCCCACCACCCATCCCTGCTTTTTCACTGCAAAGTGTCCTGGTAATAGAGTGGCAAAAATATGAAGGTTTGAGCACCAACCCACCCCACATTTTGACAGAGGCATCAGAGAACCTTCCCTCAAGTAGGGCCTTTAGTCTTGTCTTTAGGTGTAGCTCTGAGTTTAACAGAGACAACTTCTCCAGACACTTCTCCTCCAAATCATGACCATGCACCAACCCCTTGGCTCTGCTGGTGGGTGTGTACATGAACAACAAGTGCTGGGAAGGTGACTTGCACAGTCCTGACCATCGGGGAGGTTTCCCAGCTGGAAATGAGAGGGAGGAGGCTCACAGGAAGGGTCAGACCACCTGTAAGCACTCCAGAGGGCTGGATTTGGAATCCTGTCTCCACTGCTGTTTTCAAGGTCACAGCATCATAGAATATGCTGAGTTGGAAGGGACCCATCAGGATCATCGAGTCCCACTCCTGTCCCTGCACAGAACACCCCAAGATTCCCACCATGTGCCTGAAAGTGTTGTCCAAACACTTCTTGAACTCAGACAGGTTTGGTGCTGTGACCGCTGACTGCCCTGTGGGAGCCTGTTCCAGTGCCCAAAAACCTTTTCCTGATATCCAACCTAAACCTCCCTGACTCAGCTCCAGCCGTTCCCTCGGGTCCTGTCACAGTCACAGGGTGAAGAGACCAGCACCTGCCCCTCACGAGGATGCCGAGGACCACAATCACTTAAAACAAGAACAGCAGCTCACAAATAGATCCTTTGGGCTGAGGGCCCATTTTCCAAGTGAAAATGGAGGCGCTGGGTAAGGCCAGGCCCTTCCATGGCAGGTGACCCGGAGCGGGAGCCGACGACGCACCTTCCGCACCTTCCGCCGCCCGGGCGAGGTCGGGAACATACCTTGGAAATGAGCTCATCGTGGTTGGCCAGATGAGCCCGGCAGTGGATGCAGCTGTAGGTCCTGTGGCACGAAGGCAGATACGCCTGGAAAGTCTTGGACCTTGTCATCTTCACCATTGGAGCCACGGAGCGCTGGGGGAACTCTGGGGCGGCCCAGGAGGCACTCCCGCAGGACGGGTCGCACGGGAAACACCGGAACACGCAGGTAAAGGCCGTGGTTTGGCAGGGGATGGGTGTGTGGGGCGGGCTCCACACGCTGGTGACGCTTCAGAGGAACAGAGTCGGGCACGGGAGAGGGGACTTCGCACAAACCTGCGCTCGGAAAACAAGAGACACCGCGCTCAGCTCACGGAGGTGACAACGGTCTCCCAGCCCACAGGATGGTTCAGGGTTTGATCCAGGGCAGGGAAGAAGCAGAGCAGCCAAGAGACAGGATTGATGTCTGTGGATTAGATCGGGAGCACAGATATTTATTCACAGCTCAGCAGTGACTCGCTGACTGCCCTCACCTCTCCCTGCTGCCATTATCTGCCATCTCCCTGTCGATCCGGCACTGCAATCTCCAGTCACTCTTCCAGCACTTAATGGGTTTGGAAATGACTACAGAAGTGCTGAGATGACTTTCATCAAGCCTGGTCTCCCAAAGACCTCTGGGGAACTGCACATGTCAAGGCCCAGCTCCTGACAAAGCCAGAGGGAAAGTGGGGACCAGAGTCAGCCCTGCCAGCTCCTGTCCTGGGTCACTCACTGACAGGACACCCCAGAAGCCCACGGGAAAACTGGGAGCTGGACCTGGGTTTTCTCAGCCACCAGGTAAGCACACGAGTCACCAAACCAGTTTTTCTCTCCATTCTGCCCTAGTTTCCACATGGGAAATGGAGGATTCCTGCATTCCACTCTCCTTCATAACTCCCTGAAAGCTCTGAAGGTTGAAGCCACTCTATAAACTGCACTCTAGTACTTTATTTTTTTTTATCTGAACATCTGACAGCAGCCAAAGCAAGGCACAGCCTCTGAAGACTATTCCTGATAGCAAGAGACAGTTAAAAACCCTATTCAGGATGGAAACACCATTTTACAGTGCAACATCATCTGACAGCACCTGCAAGGCAGCTCAAGGCTGGGTCTCTTTGTGTTGGCAGAAATCTCTTTTTCAGATCCCACACCTATAAACTACAAATGTTTCTTTTGAGGATGGAAGAAGCCTAAAGGAAGCAGGTCCCCTTCCCTGATCCATGGCGTGCATGCACTTCTACAAATTAATCATGAACTCTGCCTGCTCCTCCCAGGAGGATTTCCCCTTCCATAAAACATGTGATTCTGTTCAGTTTCTGAGCCTGCACTTTGTACATCAAACACTGGAACAACACCAACTACTCCCCTACCACCACCACCACCTGCCCCCAAAATGAGAAAACCAAGAAATAACCCCCCTCCACTTGACCTGCAATGGCAATTCCTGCAGTGGACAAAGCACTCAGGTACCAAAGTGGTGTTTATGGAAACCCCCATTCTCAACTCTTCTCCCAAGGTTGGAAAAGCAGATTCAAAGTATTTAAGTTGCTTCTGGAAGTGTGACCCACTGAACCAACTGCTCGATGGTGGAGTGACACCAGTATGACAACAGGACACCCGTTTTTACCTATTTTTCCTAAATATTTTTCTTCTGCTCTCCAGGAGACAGCTCCCTCACAGTCAAATGGGAAAAAAAGAGAGTCTTACTCATCCATGAAACTGCTGATAGATCATATCTATCCTGATCATAGCAGTCAGCGCTTCCACAGCAGTTTTCATTCTTAAAGCTCTTTGCAAACACCAACTAATCAGATTAACCTTTTCCAATTAAAGTTACAGCCCCAGCTTTGCAGGGCCCATCCTGACACAGGAGGGTTCACTTCCCAGCCTGTCAGAAGCTAAACCCTCTCAAAAGGAGGTCTTGCCATGAATTGATCTGCCCACTTGCCAAGGAGGCTCCCTGGGCACTGTTTGCTTCACAGCTGCACCTCTGGATTTCAGCAGGATTTGTCTTTGGCTCTAATCAGAAATCAGACAGTCCTCACCCTGTATCCTGCCCCAGTCCTCCACAGGCACCAGGATTTTGTCAAAACTGAGTCAGCTTTGCACCAGAGCATTGAGTTCCCCTCCAAGGTGAGGAGCACTTTGAGAACTGCACCCTAAATTTGCAAGGAGGCAGAAACCAGATGTAAACCAAGGCAGAATCCTTCCTTATTTTCTGCTGATTAGGTGGGAGTAAAAGCAACACCTCCCAGCCTTCCTGAGCTAACCAAGGGCCAACCTTTACAGTCACAAGACAACAGAACCATCCCCAAATTCCAAGCCCCTGATTCAGCAGTTGCTATGTCACATCCCAGCCCTGATGGAGCTCAGAACCTGAACTCTGTGAGCCTCCAAGTGCACGGAAGCTGGAGACTAAGTGTGCTCCTTCTGGGGCCAAATGCAATCGGATCCCAGGGCACGGCACCGAGCCCTGTCTGGGAGACACGGATTCCAGGGACAGACCATCTGGAGCAAAGCACGAGCAAGGGCTGCCAACCACTTCACCTGATTCCTGAGTGAGAAACCAGACTGAGCCTAAACCTCAGACCTGACTGAGCCCTAATGAAATGGTGCAATCTCTCCTCTACTTCACCATGGATCACTAAATACACCCAGTTTTACCTCTTCCCTCCTATGTTGTCATGCCAAACTTTCCTTTCCTGATCAGCTGGAGAACCCACAGGCCCCCTCAGAGCCCGCTGGAGACATAAATGAATCCCAAGCAGAACAACACAACAGCAATCCCTTAATTTGGGAGTTTGCTGACCCCTCTGTCCAGGCCTGCCAAGCATCACTGCCCCAGAACAATGAGTAAAGCAGGAAATCCTACAGCTGCATTTATCTGACAGGGAGATGAACACACACAGAATTATCTGCTGCACACAGCTTTCTGCAAAAGCATTTCATGAGCATTCATTTGTTTGACCTCATAACACACTTAACGTCAGCAAAAACATTTGACCTTTCAGAGAAGAGGAAAAAAAAAAGCGAGATTATATCAGAGCAGAGACTAAGATGAACTGCAGTTCCTGCTCTCTGGGCTGTGCTGAGGAGGCAAACTCCATCTCTCTGCTTCAGGCAAGCAGGGAATAAAGATTTGGGAGCCAGGATCTTGCTGGGAAATGTAGTTAAGGAAGTGCCTTGAGTAAAAACTTCAGGTGACCATCATTTATAAAGCACTGCTTTCATCCAGGGCTCAGCCTGACAGTTTGATCACCTGTGCTTTATCTGCCAAGAGCTCTGTCCTCATCACAGTATGGGAGAGGAGAGAAAAACCACTAGGAAATGCATCCTTACATCCTACAAGCACAGTCAGCAGCTTGTAAGGACCCACTTCTGTCTTAAATATCACCTTGAGATGTGTTCAGGAGTATCTGTGGCTCCCGGCAACGGAAAATCCAACCTCCTGGATTTTTTCAGCACTAGTGACAAAACACATTTGAATTAAAACACAATTAACAGCTAGTGGTGCAGTCATTCTGCTGCAGAACAAGGGCACGAGGATGGACTTAGGATGTGCCTCTGGTTTTTAGAATGAAGAGAAATCTGTCTCTGGGATGGACACACTCGAGTCAACGGAACAGAAACTTGTGCCTATTAATTAGTTCACGACAGGTTTAGACAAAAAGAAGGAATTCTAAAGGAAAAGCTTTCAATTTATTGTGGTTATCAAGGAGGGAATCAGCTGAGTGTTCTGCCTGCCTGCACTGGGGATGTTGGGGCTGTTCTGCCTAATCCTGCTGAGTTTTAAGCAGATTCAGCTCCAGGAAGGGAAAAAATCACGACACACATTTCGCCACTCAGGCAATTTTTGGTTCAGAATTCTCCCTCCACCTGTGGGTGTCCAACACCCACTTTCCACACGAAGCTGTCAGCGAGTCAGGAAACACAAAAAAGGAGAAAGTCTGTGCCAAACACTTGCCAGACAAGGCCACTGCATGTCCATCTGTCACATGGCAGAGACCAAAACCACCACCCACAAGTCTCATTTTGAATAGAACCCATTTGCAAGGAGGGTCAGATGCAAATGTTCCTGTTCGTTGTGGCAAGACAAACAACAGGCTTGTTGGGTCTGAGGCTTTGTTTTATGGATTATTTGATTTTAAAGATAAACTTTAGCCTGTGAAATGCTTATTGCATTATACCAAATGCTACAGAAAGCTGCCTGTAACAGCTCTGGAATAATGCAGCTATTGGGAAATTCAACCTTTCTTCCTTGTCTCTTCTCATTAATATAGAAAGAGCTTGAGATGTGCTTATGCCCAGCACAAGGAAAGCACAAAAGGAATTGGGTTTGGAGAGTTTTCTGTGTCTACAAGGTCCCAAACTGTGGCTGCCTGTGTTGCTCCAGGGTCTGAGCATGATTCTAAGAAAATGCCTGAGGTAAATACACTCCCTTACCAGGGTTTTCTTGACAAAAGCTGCCTTAACATCACTCAGTGCCCTGCAGTTTGAAAGAGGAAGGTTGGTCTCTAACTGAGGTCTGGGTTTGATGCCCAGTTTTCCTTCCCTGTGGAATAGAAGTTATCAGAATGTCAGGTGTTGGACCCTCAGAGACACCTGGCACAGCTCAGGAGCATTTCATCCCCTGGGGCTGGAGCACAGCAACAAGAGCTCCTGGTTTGGGGTAGTTTGGGGCAGCTCTGGAGCTCCTCAGCACCACAGGACTGCGACAGCTCTGGGAAAGGGGAACCAGATCGTCTGAAGGTGGGAGGGTGGGATGTACCTTGGGAAAGGCCTGGAAGGAAGGATGAGCATTCTGAATTTAAACATGGAACACAAGGGGAAGCCAGAAAGGAGTTTAAACAGCAGATGGGTGAACACAATGTGCTTTACTCCTTCAGCATCGAGTTGCTGAAAGGCACCAAACCCTCGCTGAGGGTTTGAAGCAGCTCAGCTGCACCAGCACAACCAACAACAGTGACAGGAACCATGAGTGTCTTTCTCTAACACCTTGGGCTCCTCCAGCTTATCCTCCAAATGCTGGAAACAGGAAAGTAATACAAGAAATAGCAGAGGATGGGCAGGAATCCTCTGTGTTTATTTTTATCAGATGTAGGGACACAATTACAACACAAAGAATGGAGCAGGTTCCCCACTTAGACTTCCTTCAACCAGGAATATATTTAACCTCCTTTGTCCCTCTGGGTATCTCCTAGCAAGGCATTTCATCTCTGCAAGCTGGAGACAACATCCTGCACCACGAGGGAAAAGAGGGAGGGAGAGATGGATGGAGGGATGGATGGATGGGAAAAGGTGATACCAATGGCAAACAACATCCCAAACATCTGCCAGGAAACCACTAGAGGGCCTCAAGAGGAGCTGCAGCAGGAGGCAATCCCAGACTGTGTGTCCACAGGGAACCCAGGATGGCAGGGGGCCAACCCCCTGCACCTGCTGTGCCCCACATACCACAGGCAGCCCAGCAGGAAAAACCCCACAGAGTTACCCTGCTGAACAGCCAGAACACCAAACCCAGCAAAACTGGCACGGGGATTATACCAACCACAGTTCAAAGGCTGGATTTTGTGTGTGGTTTTTTTTCCTTTTTTTTTTAAGATCAGCAATGTGTCACTTCATGGTCCCTCACAACTCTCCTCGTCAAAACCAGACACTGCACCCCACAACAAACCCCCTGGTCTCTCTCTGATGGAGAGACTTTGTATAAAGGATCATGTGGAAAGTACATAAAAATGAGTTGAAACTTCAAAGGAACAAGGAGCAAATTTTAAAACTCACTTTGGGTTAGAATTTCATGTAAGTCTGTCTGGCTTTGTCACTGTACACACTATTAATCCACTGAAATCCATTAAACTTATTAAAAACAAAGTAATTTTAAAAAATATTTTTTTAAAAATCAGTTCTTTACACAGCTGATTTACTTTCTGGCAATTTGGAGACTGAATCAAATTTAAAAGTTTCACTTATTATTTTTTTAATAACACCCACACCAGCGCATTTTCAGGTTCTCAAATGCAACCACATGGTGAGAAGCAAGTCCAGAAAACTCCTGCATTCCAAGCAAAACCTTTCTTGTATGAACTACAGGACTCAGAGAGCTGAGAAGGGAAGGGACAGGCTAAAGCAACCCAGGGAAGATGGTGCAGAGATGGTTCTTTCAGAACTGCTCACTCACCTCTCCCTGAGGTTCAGAGCAAAACAACCCACTCAGCCACGCCATGGACAGCTCTGGGAAGCAGGGAAGGGAAAGAAGTCTGGAAATTTTAATCAAATTCTTTCCAATTTCATCTCAACAGGCACAGGACAGCCAGGACAGGCATCACCCCACAGGCCTGGCTTCTTAATTCATTACCTTTCCCAGGCCTGTCCTTGAAACCACCCGAACACGGAGTGCAGGATCCAGCCTCTCCCGAGGAATGAGTGACACCTCTGGCTGAATTCTCTTCCCACTCTCCGAGGGGTTGCCTGGCAGCAATATCTTTGCAATGCAGAAGAGGCTGTGCTGCTGATAAGGAGCAGCATGGCAAGATTAGAGCTGCAGGCTGCCCACCTCCAAATCCAACACCTCCAGCCAAACCCCGTGTCCGGCTCCAGGAGAGGCCGGAGAGGCACCACAGCTGGGCAGGACTCACTGGAAACAAGGAGCACTTATTTGTGCTCCTGCAAGCAAATCCCACAAATCAAAGCTGCAGGCTGGACTAATTTAACACACAAATGACTCCATTTCCTCCTTTACATTTTGCAAAAGTCATGCCAGCACCCCCAGGATGGGGTGACAGCCCTTCCTTCATCTGAAGCAGCCAAGGAGACAGGAGATAATCAAGTGAGGGAACAGCAATGGCTCCAACACACTGTAAAACACAATTCCTCAGCTCAGAAAAGTCCCACAATCAAGGGATGGTCACATCTGGAGCCACAGATCAAGGCCTTGGCCAGTATTACCAATGTACAGACTTCTACAAAAAGAAACAAGACCCTCACTTTGTTATTCCAGCACCAACATGAACTAAGGCATCAAGGAAAAGCTCTTCCCACCCAACTGACCATTTACTGACAAAATGGAAACGCTCTTTATCTTCCCAACTTCTCATCTTGATTTGTTTTAATTGCAGAACAGTCTGGCTGTCCAAATAACCTCCTATCATTACATTTTTCTGGTGCTCCTTAGATGGCTCTATTATCTCCCTTTCTGGCAAATGCAGGAATGACTAGGATTCAATTAATTGGGTCTGCTGGATGGATCATCTGTTTCCCTGATAAAAGCTGGGTACTGACAGGGAACACGGTGAGAACATTTATCTATTCCAAGGATCCTTCCAATATCCTCCAAGACACTAAAGAAGGATCTGCCATAGCTGCCTGTCACGACTTATTATTTGCAAGCTGCCCTTGCTGAGTCCTGGAAGTTTTCACCTGCTCACAAATCCCGTTTGCTCAGAGGGTTCTTCCCAGGAGCATCTTTGACCTGCCCAGCAGCTCACCTGTCACAGGACAGACAGGGATTTTATTTTCTGCTCTGGCACATCTCACTCTTTTCCCAGGAAAGCCAAGGTGGTGAATTCTGACCCATCTCTGCCAGAAACACTTTTTATATGCAACAGTTACTGTATTAACAAGGGACGAACTTCCAGTGGCAGTTCAGCCTCTGTCCTCACCCTCCTTTAGCAACACTGTGTCAAGGGGGCAAAGTCAGGTGAAGATTTAGAGCCTGACTCTTCACATGACAGACACTTTATAACTGAATCTAGTTTAAGAAGGTCAAGTCAGCTGTTACCTTGCCAGTTTTTGTCATTAGCTCCTCCTGGATATCCTCTCCAGCCTGGATGTGACTGCCAAGGTACGTGAACTGACTCACCCCTCACAGCCCTGACCAATGTTTGAGATGGGAGTTCCTGGGGCTCTCGGGGAGATTTCTTATTTCCCCACGGTTAATAATTAACTCCAACTTTTTTATTTTTTTTTTGTGCTGCTGGACAATCTGTTTTTAGTAACATCTTGCTTGAGCCATCCTTTAGCAATATTTCATCAGTGAAACCTCAATCTCCCAGAGCTCCAGGGCTCCGAAATGCCCAGGTCACACCACGGTTTTGTCCTCGCGGTGCAGTGAGTGCCAACGTGAAACAGGAGAAGGGAAGAGAGCTCTGACACCACTCTGCCTTCCCTCCCAGCGGATCCAAAAGTCCTCTGAAGGGCAAATTCAAAGCATCCCCACCTTTTGAAATTTTAAGTTACTTTTTCTTTGAGCCTTCGCTCGACCGCGGGAGTTTGGTTCTGTGCGAGTCACGATGTCAGCGGAAAAAAAAAGAGTCAAAAAACCATTTTATTTTTGTGAATCAGCAAAACACCACACATTTTAATGTGCCATACGACACCTGAGCAGGTGTAAAAGGACTGATGTCTAGCTGGGTGTGTGAGGAGACAGGAAGGCAGCTCCTACAGGCTGCATTGCCTTACCTCCAGTGACTCACTGCCTGGCACTATCATCTGTTAAAGCAAGAGTGAAGCAGGGATAATAGCTATTTACTAAAAACAGAGGAGCGTGATTAGCTTTAATTAGCATTGTCAAGTGACTTGAGATTGTCAGGTACAAGATGTGGGAGAACTAAGTCTCATTAATTATGTTATTTCCTGCAGCCTTAAGTGGCTTGGCCAGTCCAGTGACGCTTCCGGAGGCAGGAGCTGCTCCTGATGTCCAACACATCCCAATCCAGAGGGGAAAACACTCTCAGAAAGGCCTGGAAGATGTGGCTGTTGAGTAAAGGGTCTCAGAGAAGAAGAATCAAGAACAATCAGAGCAAGAACAGCCGCTGGCCCTGACAAATGGGGACAAGAAGGCAAAATGACAAGGCAGAAAACAGACTGGGAGAGAACCAACTGCCAAACTCCAGGGAGGATGAAGAGCAGGGACCAGTGGGGGCAACAGGGAATGTGATTCAGGCCCAGGACACAGCATTTGTGGAAAAACGTATTTTTATTCTCCTAAAAAAGATCAACTATAAAATGCCTTTGTTTTGGGAGACAGAAATCCAGATCCTCAATGGGCATCACACCACCAACACACACGATGATTTGTGAGCTAAAAAACCTGTCCTGAAGAACTCAAAAATCCTTGAGAAGGAATAGTCCATCTCTTCATGGACTAGCCTTGGCTTCTGGAAGGCAAAGGAAACCTGTCCTTAGCTGTTAAGTTATTGTGATTAGATCTGGAAGAGAAGACCTGCAAATAAACAGGTACAGAAAAGAGGATCCTGAAGACCAACTTACAGGTCTCTATCAAGGAGGGGGAAAAAGAAAGCTGAATATCCTGATTTCAGTGTGATAAACAGACCCTGCTCCCCTGTTCTGCCTTCGACATCCTGAGCAGCTTGAAAGCAGCCAAGAGAACTGAATTTCTCCATTCCAGACTCCACTCAGTGACCCCTCCTGAACCCCTCTGCTCCAGCACTCCACAATTGACCTCTAATGAAGACTCTGCTTAAGCTCAAGCAAACAAACCTCTGCCAATTAATGGCCAAAGCCCAATGAAAGCCTGGCTTTATTGGTGTCTCTTCAAGAGGCTTCCACGCACGTGGTGATGCAAGAACACAAAATAAATGGTTTTTGCTCCCCTGCAATCCTTGTAATGCTTTTGTAGTACCACGGCAAGATCAAGGAGCTCCCACTTTCTAAACTGCCAGCCAGGACCTACCCAGAGTGACCAGTTCCTTAATTAAATTCTCTCTCTGCAACAGGTACTCATTCCATGAGTCAAGGAGCTTTTGAGGGAATGCGGATTTACAGGTAGGGATGTTGTCTTCCTCAACACAACCCTGACTCAACTACACCCACCAAGCAGTGAAGAAAGGAAATCCCTTATTTAAAATCTCTGAATCTGGAGGACATGAGGGAGCTCAAGGCCCAACACAGCTCTGCCAGTTATTCCAATCCTGGCACTGTGAAAGATACACCTGCAAAGAAAGCTAAAAAATAAAATAAATAAATAAGAGATGCACTTGACATCTTCATCAGATGAAAGCAACATCTCTGCCCTCCCCAGAGCATTCCCAACCTCAGCTTCAAAGCACAACGCTCACTTGTACACGGCCTTTCAGCAGGAAACAAGAATCAGGGATCCAGGGAGAAAAGGAGAACATCTTAATTCCCTATTCCAGCACTGCAGTTACACAGCAAACAAGGTTTACAAGGAACCAGAGGCGTGGATCCAACACGACGAGAGCTCAGAGAAAAATCAGTGGGAGTGCTCTGCAAGAATGAAGTCACAAAACACATCCTTTCCAGGCAGAATCCTCTCACGGATTAGAAGCCAAGCTCCCTCAGTATCTGCTTGTTTACAACCCTCTAACTCAGCACAGGCCTCTCTGCACTGCCCAGCATAAGCTTTAAGTAACTGTAAACGCATTAGGAGAAAATCCTCCTCCGGAGCAGGAGCAGGCCCCGAGGAAGGCACTGGCAGCAGGGCAGGTGCTGTGTGTGTCCCTCCCTTCCCAGCTGCTGTCACCGGGCTGACAGGCCTCTGACAGGCCTTCCTCGGGCTGTATTTACACACAGACAAAGGTGGGGGCAGGTTCGCTCCAGTCAACTGCAGGAGAAGGAGGCGAGGATTCCACTTCTTTTTTATTTTTTTTCCCCCCACCCCGTTAAAATCACGTTTTAAAGCGCAGAGTTTCAAATCGGTTTGGCTTAAAAAAAAAATAAAATCAGCGTTAAAACCTGAAGCTACGACCCCGCAGCTCGCCCCAGAGCTACTCCCGTCATCTCAGACTTGTGGATCGAACCCAGAGGTTTCTGTGGAGGCGCACAAGCCCCTCACCCTGTCACCCTGCAGGGCTCTGCACAAGACGAGGCTGCTACACCCTCAACCAGAGGCGACAGCAGCCGCACAGCCCGGCCGAGCCACCCTGCGCCTGGTTTCGGTGCTCCGCGAGCCAAAAGCGCCCGGGACAAAGCCGGGAATGCCCCTTCCAGGGGCTAATCCCGGTGCCCTGTGCCACCCGTGCCGTGATGTCACCGCCGGAGCCACCGCCTGCAGCGGGCAGGGCCCGGTCTCCAGGGGCTCCGGAGTGTTGGTAAATAAATACAGAGCTGCTGCTGCTGCTGGTGCTGCTGCGGGACACGGGGCAGGACCGCCCCGCACCCGGAGAAGATGCTGCACGTCCCGGGGGTCCCATCGCGGGGGTCCCACCGAGAGCCTCCCGCACAGCTCCGTGCGGGGCCACCGCGGGGTTATCGTGCGTTTACAGCGAGATGGGCGGCGAGGAAGGACCGTCCCTGCTCCTCCTCCTCCTCCTCCTCCTCCTGCTGCTGCTCCTCGTTGCCTCCCGGGGGTCCCTCCCGTCCATCCCCAGCTGGGGGGATCCCACCGACCCGCTCCCGCCTCCCCCGCACACAAAGGCGGCCGCTCGCCCCTCGCCAGCCCCGGGGGGGGCTCCGTCAGTGCCGGTGAAGGATGCGGGGGGAGCCCCCCGGGGCCAGCGAGGTGGACTGAGGGGGGGGGACGCGGCGACACACGGACACGGCGACACACGGACGCGGCTGTGGCGCAGCTCCGCGCAGCCACACAACTCCAGCCGCCCCGCGGGCCGGGACCCCTCAGATCCTCGGCTTCACCTCCCCCCAGCGCTGTCCCCCCTCTCCCGGTGCCTCACTCACCGCGGCCGCCCCGAGCGCGTCCCGGCGCGGAGCGAGCGCGGCGCCGCCGACGCGCACAGAGCCCTCAGCGCCGCCCGCGCCCGCCCCCCCCCCCCCCCCCCGCGTCTTATACCCGGCCGCGCGGCTGAGCGGCAGCGCCAAGGGCCAATCGCCGCCCGCCGCCACATAGCAACACGCCGCCCATTGGCCGCGCGCGGCCGCAGTCCATTTACTGTGAGCCAATGGCAGCGCGGGGGCTGGAGGGAGGGGAGAGCGGGGCGGGGGGCGGGAGCGCGCCCCGCGCGCGCACGAGGGCGGGCGCGCGGCTCTTAAAGGGGCCGCGTCCGCCCGCGCGGGGAGAGGCGCGGGGTGAGCCCTGATGGGGGGGGGGGGGGGGGGGGGGGGGGGGAGGATGCTCGGGGGGCACCGCAGCACCACGGCACGGCCCACGCGGTCCCACCCCTCCCGGGTTCCCAAGGCCAGGGCTGTGAGCGCTTTGCAGTGGCTGCGCGTTATTTGCGACCATTCCTGCGCGGGTAATTGGCGTTAATAAACGGCGGTGATTAGCGGTGCCCTCTGCTCCGGGGTCGGAGCAGCCCGAAAATCCACCAATACCGCCCCGGCTTCTCCGGATCATCATTAACACGAGGACTAATTGAAAAATGAAGATATTCCGTATTTCTGCTGGAAATCTCCATCAGCTCCATCCCACGGTTTTTTTTCCAGCGGTGATCTTGGGAATCTTGTGCCCAAACCCCGCAGCTGTGCTCACACAGCCCCAGCGCACACACGCCTGCACATCACACACGCAGCAAACCCCGAAAAGGGCAGGGGCACAATTAAAAGCCGCCCTCTCCGAGCACCCTAATTAAGACACGAGCTCCCAGCAGCTCTGAACGAGGTAATTTGAAGCCTTTTTGGTCCCAGCACACACAGCTCAGCATTTGAGTGCTAATAACAGTAATTCATCACTGTACAAACACAGGTTTAATAATCCCAGGCTGGTTTGGGGTGGAAGGGACCTGAAAGCTCATCCAGTTCCACCCCAGGTTGCTCCAAGCCCCGTCCTGGACACTCCAAACCGGGAGTCCCAGCTCCAGCTCCAGCTCCAAACCTGGCCTTGGACACTTCCAGGGATGGGGCTTTTAATTAATGTTTCCTCTCTCCCCTTTCCTCACACCCAAGGATGAAAGTTCTACATCTTCTGGGCTGAAAGATATTTGCTTCATGAGCTTATTCTTGCTCTAACACTCTACTGCTTTAGCAAATTCTTAATATTTTAAGCAACTCTGCAGTAATTGGTAAATTCCTAATGACTGAAAGGGCAATGATCTGGTTCAAATGTTAAATATATGGAATAATACTAAGTAAGGGGTGATAAAAGGCAATATTTCTATTAGTTGTGATATTCTTTCTTATTACATGGGGGTAGAAACACAACCACCTACCTTTTGATATAAAATAAATCTATTTTTCTTCCACACCCCTCTGATCCCGTTACTAAGCAGGTGCCAGCTGGTTAAAGGGTTCTACAACCAGATTTTAAAATTTTAAAAAAATGACATTTTTTTTCCCCCTGTACACTTCAAATATTCTGTTATTGAAGATTCAAGCACCCAGGTAGTCAGTAGCTGTTAAATACACTCAATAAAGAAGAAAATTGCTGCGTTGAAATTCAGCTGCACTGAACATTTCTGGACAAGGTTATCTGCAGGAAGTGGTGACAAACTTTGCTTGAACTTTAAATCACCCAGACTTGTGGAAAGCAACCCCAAGAAACCACCAGCAAAATAAATTTGCATCATCAAGAGGCTGCTGCAGAGCAGTGAAATTGGTTCTTTTCCCACCTCTGCAGCAGAATTTTCAGTTTGCTGATAAAAATACATTATATTTACAAGGTGAACATCAAGATTCTTTACATACATACAAAGGTTTCTGCTGTAAGAAGCCTGGTTTAGGGCGGTGATTAATTGGAATTATATTGATGTAAGTTCAGCCTCACCACGGGGGGTTCACACAGAAAAATAACACCATAAAAGGCCAAAATTTCTTCTTTAAGTTCTAAATCCACATAATTTACAAAAACTGGAAGGTTTTTAGGGGTAACAGTGCTTCATTAGCAGCATTTCACTGCCTTTTGAAAAATAAAATGCTGGCTGGGTTAAATGCTACTTTCTCCTTGAGGTTTCAAGTCACTTTTTCACATCAGATTCTGGTCACAGAAGTTGGTTGCAAACTTTTCCAGCCCAGCTTGAGCAGCACCACGAAACTTTTGCTGGGCTGAGCTTGGGAGAAATTTATTCATTTTAAAAAAAAAATAAACTCTGAATTTCGGCTCTAACCTGTAACTTTCAGCTGAGCAGCTCAGCAGGATTTTTAAATTTCTCTATTTGCAAAATTTCTCTATTTTGGAGCCTGAGCAGCACAGCTGCTGTTTCCCTGCTCAGTGTCTGCCACCTTTTAAACCTTTATTACCCTTTAGACCAGAAAAGCCCCAACTGATAAAGCATCACTGCCTGGGGGGGTCACTTTTGCCATGGCAATAGTGAGAGGGGGGAATATCAGGTTGATGCCTCAACATTTCAGTGCTGCACTACAAGTGGTGCTTAAAATCTGATCAAAACCTCAGTTTCTGAGCACTTTTAAATTCTATTTGCAGCTGGTGCTACTGGCCTTGTCATGAAGATACCTCACCTGATCCTGCCTTTCTTCTTCATTTGTAAATTGGGAATATTTCAGACTTTTTCAGAAACATCCTCAAGCACTTCAGGTGTTTCCAGCAGTGACAGAAGTAGTTTTTCTTCCCTAACTCACAGCATCGTTATTTTAGGTCCAACAACCTGTAGTTGTTCCCCAGTCCTTCATCTCATTCCCCAAAAAATCACCAAGACATCAGATGTGAGGCTGCAAAACTCGTTGCCTACAGCTGATAACTCCTATTCCTTCCAGGGAACCTTCCAGGGTTTAGAATTGGGAATTCCATCATCCCTAAACCCACTGTCCAACTCAACCAGCCCCAGAAAACTCAGGACCTGCAGAGCTGGACGAGCCTCCGGTTTTAACCCAGCTCTGCACTGCAGGTTTCCCATCCCCTCTGGCTGCTGGGAATTGCCGCGTGGAGCACAGAGCTCCATGGAAATCCAGCGGGAATCCGTGGGGAATGCGCGGGCTGTGGCGGCCTCCTGCGGCAGGAGGACGGTAGGGACCGA